GAGGGACGGTGCCGCTGTCTTGCGGAGCGCCAACCCGGCTCGGCGCCGGGGTAGAAGCCCTTCCCGCTGCCGGTGAAGTTTCGCGGCCGCCGGGCTCCGTGGCGCTCCCGTGGGCCGGGCGGGGCGGGGGGGGGCGGAGGCGCGCCAGGAATGTGCAGAGAGAGCGGGAGCGCCTTTTGCCTTTCTTTCCACCGTCGCCGTCGGCCGACTTCGCTTCCCCTCCGCTGCTGCCCTGGGTGGAGCTTCGCACTCGCTCCGAGGTGAATCAGGCGCCGGGAGCGCCGGGGGTGGGGACGCCGAACGCCGCCAGCCCCACAGCCTTTGAGCGCGGCAGCAGCAGCGGCCAGCCCCCACCTGTCCAGCAGGAGTAGCCGCCGGCCGGCCCCGAGACCCCGGGAAGGTAAGGCATGCGCTGGCAGGGCTGGATTGGACGGCCGAGGGGAGGGCGAAGAGGATCGTCCCTCCGCCGCGCAGCGCCGAGTCTCGCGTCCGACTGGCCGGTCCCCTTCCTCCCGCGGCAGAGAGCCTCCGCGCGGACGACCCCGAAGGGGGCCGGGGGCGAGGCTGGAACTTGGGGAAGGGCGACGCCTTGCGGAGTTGGGAAGTTAACTAGGGCGGGAAGGGGCGACGGCGGGGTCCAACTCGTTCCGAGAAAGGGCGGTGGGCGCATCTCGCCTGCGGCCGGCAACCCCTGAACTCCGCCGGGCCGTGCGCCCCAGGACTGGGCGTACTGGCCCGCCCGTTAGGGCAGGGCGGATGGCGCTGGCCAGGCAGAAGACCGGTGTCCCGGGGGAGCTGCCGCTTCTCTCCCCCCCCCCTTCCACGGCGCCATGCGTGCCCACACCTTCCCCAGCGCTCGTTGTGCCAGCAGCGCCCGGAACGTGCTGGGGCAGGCAAGTCGCTGATGGCAGAGCCGCGTGAAGCCAAGCGGGCCTGCCAAGAGCGCTCCTGGTGCCTCTTGGGTCTTAGGCTGAGTCCCAGCCGCACTTGCAGAGGGTGATCTCAGGGAGTTCACTGGAGACGCGGTGGGGCTGCCCCCAGGACCCCTCCTGTGTAGGAAGTCCACCTGGTGCTGGGATCCCCTGGGAGAAACTTTCCTCCAGAGGAAGGTCTGTTCCCCTGGGTTTACTGTGACTTATGGATGAATTCCCTCTCAGAAAATGGAGCCTGGTTTGGCTGTGCGCTACAGCCAGAGTCAGCTAGGGAAAGATGGGTTTTCCAGGAGAAGAAGGGGGAGCTTTCAACCCTGGGGCTGAACTTTAGCAACTCCCCTTTCTCTCTGCCCTAGTTCCAAGGTCCTGGGGGAGTGTCCCTGGTGCAGGCCGGACAGTCTGATGTGTGCCAGGCTCTGCACGCCTCTTCAGCTGGAGCAAAGGGCCTTGGGAGCTTTGGGGAGCCCCCCCCCCTCACATACTCCTGTTGACTCTGTGGATCTCTGCAGTTCTGAGGCAACCCTCCGTGGTGCCCAGCAGAGGCCTTCCTCACACCCATTCCCAGGAGCCCACTTGGAGGAGGGAGCGTGGCTGCCTTCTGGCTTTGGTGCTGGAGCACAGCCAGGAGCCTCCAGTGAAGGAGGAGGAAGAGGAGGAGGAGGAAGCTTCTCCTCGGCTGGAGCTGGGAGCTTTGCTGGAGCTGGGTGCGGCCAAAGCGGCCCAGCCGGTTCAGCAGGGCGAGGCAGGTAGGCTGGGAACTGGAGGGCTGCTGATGCAGAAGCAGGCAGCAACAGGCCCTGCTGGGCGGGCTGGAGCAGGAAGGGAGGGCGTGCTGCGTTGGAGGGCAGGGTGAATCCTCCGGCCTCTCTGCAGAGCTCTGACGGGTGGCTGGGGAAGCTGCCAAGGGGGTGGCACCCGGGACGAGAGTGGCCGCCTGAGGGTGCTGGGCCAGGCCGGCCGCCTTGAGCTTGCCGTTCTCTGGAAAGGAAGTCGAGGGCTTCACTCCCGGCTGCTTGTTTCCTGGAGCAGGCCAGGGGCAGCCCAGTGCCTTGTTTCAAAGCTGAGTTTGAGAAGGGCCAAAACCACCAGGATCACCCAACAGGCCCCTCTTATGTAGCGGATATTAGAAGGTTTTTAAAACTAGGACAGTAAGCTTACGGAGTAAATGGAGGTTCAATTTTTAGTTCTGCATTTTTCCCAAGTTAATTATCTACTCACTTCCCCAGAAGATAATGTTGTAAACGATCCTTGGCCTTTCCCTCTGAACAGCCTGGAGCATCTCTGGAAGGCTTGGCCAGTCCTGGGGGCTTTGGCACGGTGCAGACCATGAGACCCCCCCACCCCCCAAACCAGGAACAATGGAGAGGGCAGGCTGCCTGGAGCAGGACAGGGAAGCTGAGTCAGATGAAGCCGGCAAGGGGCTCTGCCTTGCAGGGGTTCGGCCTGGGCTGGGGCCACATTCAAAGCACTTCAGCCTTGGAGGCTCACAGGGCCACTTTGGTTGCTCAGTGTCCCCAGAATTGTTGTTGGGGAGATCCTGGAGACTGCTTTGAGCTCCTGGAGTGCAGCCAAAATAGAAAACCAGTGAAGGAGAAGCGGGTTAGACTTGCTTCTACCTTCCTGGGAAACCTTAGCTAGCAGCTCCAAGAGTAAATAAGTGATGGGGTAAGTCTGATGGTTGATAAACATGAATGGGAGACTGACTATAATTCCAAATCCAGTAGAAAGCAATTACTGAAACGGGTAGTCATGGCGTTGCTCTGCCAGGAGCTCCTGCTCAATCCTGTGTGCTCCCACTCAAGGCTTCCCCAAGTCTTTGCAACTTTATGCTCTGCGGGAACATCCAGCAAAGCCAAATATGGAAGATGGCCCAAGAGGGGTTGGTGTTTTCGTGCCACACATGGCCACCAACCTGGGTGACTCCAAGTAGAGGAGATATAACTTCAGGGAGGATGAAGGCACTCCGTGCTGCTCTTTGTGGCCTTCAACATGGCCTTCCGTGGCTTGGAAGAAGTGTCCACGCAACAGCAACCGAATCCCTTTTATTTCAACTAGCAGTGTTTGAAACTGCCTTGTAATTTTCAGAGAGGAAGCACTAGGCCATCTCCTTTGGATCATGGTCAAGTTCTTTAATTCTTTTGGTTCTTTTTACCTATATATACTTTTTCCCTTTGTGTGTGTGTGGGGGGGGGGTGGATTCTTCCTTATTAATGTTATTTGCTTTTATTTTTTTGCAGGTAATCAGGTTTTTTCTTTTTTCTTTTAATATAGATTCTATATTTAATAAAATGGTGTTTGAATATGGAGAAACTGTATTTGTGAGAATACAGAATATAATAGTTAAATATAGAAGAGTTTATTATTAAACATTTGCTAAATGCTACAGGTGATAAAATCAGTTGGTATTGGGAAATTGTTGAGAAGTGTGCCAAAATAAAATCTATGGATGGACCTAGTTTCCATGTGAGACTCTAAAAATGTAGTCTTGGCATCTTTAGAATCAATAAGGGCAGGTATTGCTTATTATTTACAGGAGACTCATTTAATGGAACAGGAGAAATCTCTGCTAATGAAGGATTGGGTGGGACAGGTTTATCTCACAGACACTTTGACAAAAGCTAAAGGTGTGGCCGTTTGTGTTTGAAAAGGACGCCC